ATTCGCTGGTTTGTTTTTAAATATTTTTGAGAAACTTCTTTACTTCTTCTTGAATATTGTGACCAAAGATTATAGTTCCTGCAAATTAACCAACACTACTCTTATTCAAAGCAGTCAGGAAAGGATAATCTGTATGCTTCTGTAGAAGGAGAGGGGGGGAGAAATTACATTTCCCTTGATGTTTTTGGGAACAGACTTTTCCTAAACTGCTTCACAGAATTCCTTGTTTCATTACACTCTGTGCCAAAGGTGGACGGTTGCAGAAACAATTTTGCACTGAGTTTGGCAAAAGTGTTAAGTAGGGTATATTTAGCTTTTTCATTTTTAAGATGGATACAAGTAAGATGTTCCAGACTTCAATGTGCCCTGCAAGAATGGAAAGGGACATTGCTGAACAGAGCAGAAACAAAATGAATGCTCATTAGATTATTTTTTTATACGAGGTCATTCAGCAGCTCTGTTTTTACTTTTTTTTTTTTTTTTTTACTACTTCTACATATGAAAGTCAGAATTCTTGCATATACTACTGATGTATTAGTATTCTCTGGCACAGTTTATCTGTAAAAAGTACCATTTATGCTTAACTTAAAGTCTTCCAAATTTTAATTCCTCTAAAACTTTTGTAAAAACTTATCATTCAGATATTCTGTATGTATGATTAATATTATCTGATGTACATAATGACAAATATCTTTTTGTGCTACCAGAGGGAAAAAAAACCCAAACCCACTTAATTTAGAAAAGATGGCACTTTGCAGAAGCTTTCTTAAGAACTTACAAAAAAAAAAAGCACAAATGTTCTGAAGTATTTCCATGAAAGAAGAGCTAAAAAGATAAAACCAAGACACATGTAAAAATGTTTTGGGAGAAAAAAATTGCATGTGTCTACAAGAATTTCTAAATGGACAATGTTTATGTAGAAAGTCCCCCGAAACTGTCATAACAATTACACATTTGCTTTAACGAACAAAAGTAAGGACATTCCAAAAGCAGTTTTAGCTTACTACAGGGTAATTACAAGCAGCATTCAGTTTATAATTTCAACCTTATTCCTAAAATTTACTTTAAGGAAACCACTGACATGCAAAAATAGTTATGTAAATAACATTACATCTTTAAAGAGTGAAAAATCCCTTCATGAAAACCAGAATCAAAGTGAGATCTTTGTGTAAATAATAGTTACGTTAATAATTTACAATGCATCTAAATTCATCATCAGTTTCTTCTTTGTTTCAGTGTAATTGAATAATGCTAGACTGGCTGGTTTACTTGTACTTGGGTACCAGAAGAAGAGTGAAGCTGTGGTGCTGAATTTGCAGATGCAGTTCTGAATTCTGCATTGTTCTCTGATAGAATGAGCAGTAAAAAATAGTCAAGAGAATATGTAGAGAAAGTCACAAACAAACTTCAAAGAATAAAAAGCTTTCTCTGGCCTTCTACGCTTCTGCTTTTCATGCTCATACCTTTCTATGCTTGAGATAATCCACTAGAAAAACTTTTAGCAAGCAAATTTTATTTTAAAAGCACAGTATGAGCTCAGGGGAAAGGACTTCCCTTAAAATTCAAAGATAATTGAAAACTGAATGGCTAAAATAAAGTTCGGAGAAATTTTCACAATGCTATCAGAAAAAAAAAGTCCTAGGCCAAGTTACAGCTAAAAAGTAAAGCTGCTTTTCTTCCTAATTCAGCAAAAACATAGTTACATATCTGCAGGAATGCATCTGAAAAACTTTACTTAAACCTTCACATTATCCTCTCCAAAGGATCTGTCAGTGTTTTGACTCGTTGACTTGTTCCTATTCTTTGAGATTCATGTTTCCTGCTGAAGTAGACTTATGCAAGCACTTTGCAAATGCCTATGGTGTTCCATTAAGAAATGCAGCTTTTCCTGTGACATCTACCTGAGAAACACTGGAGAACAGATGCAAAAGATCCTACGGTACTTTTGAGCACTGGACCTGTGAGTGGCCTTGACATGAATAAAATAAGCACTAATGACTTAACCTGCTTGTGAGATTTTAATTTCTTATTCAATATACTTTGTCTGAACTTTTGCAACAAGAATGACACCTACTGCATAAAACTAATTATAGTTACTGTGCTGTATGCAAGAGATACACTCTTCTTATAAGCAGTCACTTGGTGATAGAAATGAGTAGAGGTGGGAATAAATTTTAGAAAAAAACTTTTCCTGAATTTTTGCAACACTGTCTTTCAGATCTTTTTCTAAGAAACTAAGGAAATGCTAAATCCCTTCACTTCTACATTAAGTATCAGCTCCAGCTATGATTTTTATGCACTGATAGCAAAATATAACTACTGTATTTCTGTACAGACGGACTTGACTCAGTGTTGATGTGAATCCTTGGAGAATGCAAGCTTTGATTCTCACATGTGCAGTCACTTTACAGCCATTTTTTCAGAAATATGCAAAGAATTGTTTTTGCAGAAACAAAACAAAGTAAGAAATCTACATTATTGCAAAGAGTTATAAGGCCAAACAAAAAAAAAAGAACTTGAATCCAGCATTCTGAACTCCTACAAGCAGACAAACAAATATATACATACATACATGTCTGTGTGGATCTTCAAGAAAAATACACAAAACCACACATGTACATACATTCTGAAAATCAACAGATGCCAGATAGTCCTTAGGTTGTATGAATTGTAAAATCTGTCTCAAAGTGAACATCTGGAACATTTAAATCTTAAATCCAAAGTCGATCTTCTAGCACTAGATTCCCTGGGGATTATAATGAAGGACTGACTGCACAAACATCTGCCCTTGTCTGCTAATGGATTTATTTTCTTAGCTAAATTCAGGCAACATGGCATCTCATCCAAGCCATGATGTTAACATTTACAGTTGCTAGAATGCTATATGTACCTTAGCCCAGCATCACATTCACTGTTAATATAAGATTACTCAGAACTTTATGATTACATATGGAAGCTTATTTTTGGATATTAGTCATTTTGATACTCTTGAAGTGTTTTAAGAGTCTCCCTAAATCCAGAGATTGTCTCAATCTCTTAGCTTTTCATGGTTTGTTAGCTTGGTTTTTACCTTATACCTGCCCAAGAAAATTCTAAAATCTAAAGTAACAGAAGCATTGAGAAGAAACAATGACAAAAATGTTCTTGCTGGTGGAAAAAATATTTTTTAAAAATGTCATTTCCCTTGCAATATCTTAAAATTTCACTTGTAGATAGTATTTCTTATTAAAAAAAAACCACAAAAAGCCCACACAAATGTGTGCTTTACAACCATTTGATCTGTCTGAATCATGGTTCTCTCTCTAAAACATGTGTGTACCCTGCAGTGACTGTGTAGGTTCTTTACCTCCTTAATTTTCACTTGGCAAGTAGCCCAAGCCTCTGCTTTAAATTTCCCACTTGGTAGCACTAGTATGGCACCTGAAGAGTAATTACTTGTAAGAAAGGGAATTTGAATTGGTTGCTGAGAAGGAAAAAAATGTGCATGCCTAATAAAGATTTTTCCTTGAGTACCTGCAACACCATTTATTTATTTTTGCTTAGAATGTACCACCCTTCAAATGGACCAGTGACCAATTTTTATTTTTTTTTTAAACTTTCCAGAAAAACTGAATGAAAGAAAACTGTTTGGTTTTAAGGCCATGCTATTGCACTTTTAGTCAGTCTTTTACATTACAGCAGCACTTATCTTGACACAAATTTTGCCTTTTTTTTTTTTTTTTTTTTAATAGTGTTTCCTGATAATGGCCTTTTTAATTTTATTTCTCACATTGCTCTCCTATGGACACCTAAGGTGTAGTCTTCTAGGAAGGCAAATCATGAAGATGTCTGAGCAAGCAGAATATTTTACCTAAATTATACGCATAACTCTCTGAAGTTTATACTGTCCATGAAACTTTACATTATGATACTGTTTGTGAGCTAGGCAGATCTCCATTGGTTCCAATGACCTTGGAAACTCTTTTTGAACAATTCATTACATATATATAGTTATGCAAAATGAGTAACAGAAATAAGGTTTTCCCTCCTCTAGAAATTAGCAGTTCCCCAGCCCTAAGAAAGTGAAAAGTGCTGCTCCTGATACTGCTTCTGCCTTCTGTGCAAAGACAGAAATGCAGAGAAGTTTGAAGGGGAGGGGATTTGATTTCTTTTTTAATGTCTGCCTCCTTCCAGCAAGTCCATCTGTTGCAGCACTATAATTCTGGAAGCAGGATGTGTGTGTGACCAACAAGAGACAATTACTGCAAAAGTGTTTGTTGATTCAGCTCTATAAAGGGCAGGCCAATCACTACAGTATGAATAGAAAAGAATTCCAGCTGAGGTGCTGCATATAGATTAACACAAAATACATATATATAAATGAGAATGGGGAAAACCAGAAAGGGGTAATAGCATGGGAACGGATTAAGTAGGAATGAAGACTGAAGTAGAGAAGAAAGCTGGCATCTTTGGGGCTGTTAACCAAATAGTTTACTAGTCTCTATTTTCATAAATCTTGTTCTCTAGCTTTCCACCTTGACAGAGAGAGATGGGATGAAATAGATATGGAACTGATCTGAGCCCCCTTTGGAAGAAAACTCTAGTTGCCTTGAGCACTCCACTCTTGGGGCATATAGAGACCGTTGGTTTCTCCCAGAGTGCCTGTTCTTCAGAGAGGAACAGGTGCTAGTTCACGTGGACTGACCAGTTTCTCAGGAAACTTCTCAGACCACAGGCTAAAAGTGAAATTTCCTCATCCATTTGAATGCAGGTAAAATGTCAGCATGAAGACCAATTCTTTTTCAGAAGGATAAACAAATTCGGTTGATATAATAGTAAATCAGGCCTCTATCATTTGTACATAATAACTGATTCAGAATCTCATACAAAGCATGCTAATATATAACATTGCATAATTTTGATCATAACAAGAGACAAAAAATCAATGTTATCAAAATCTCACAGAATGACAATAGAATTAAGCTGAACATTCTAAGACAGCATAATGAAAAGTAGTTTACCTCTATGGTCAGTTTAGTAGCTTGAAGTCTTTGATCAGCCAAATGTAGCTGAGTTGTTAGTTTTTCATTGGTTTCTTTAAATCCCTTCACAGAAGACACTGCTGTCTTTTTTTCATTCTGTAAAACAGCTATCCGCTGCTGCAATGATTTAATTCTTTCCTGCAGTAGAGTAACAGAGTAGCCCGGTTTCTGGACAGTATTTCTCCTTTTTGTTCTGTTCACTAAATATAAAATGGCATGTTACTAAACTGACAGATCATCATAAATAAGATAATTTATGATTTTTCTCTGGCCCTTCAAAAACACTGTTCTAGCTTCTAAAATATTTCTCAGTAAGCAAACTGGTAAATTAATTCAGTTAACCTGTAAGTGCTCTATGTTGTTCTTTTTCTGAAGTGCCAAGATGCAAACTCAACAAAGACTTGGAAGTTAAATGTGGCTCAAGTTTCTGATCGGTATTACTGGAAATAAAGGCTTCAGTGTCTTGTTAACAGAATTTTTTTAAGGTCTAAACCAAAATACAGTTAATTTTGTTTCATTGGCTGTGTTGGCTACAAGGGGCAAACAAGAACAAAAGGTAGTGAAAAGCCACATTTTAGTCAGTAGATTCAATAGGTGGCACTTAGTTAAAATAGAGTATACTGTAACTGTGCGAAAAGATGATGTTTGACAGTCACTTTTTATACAACAATTTTACTTTAAAATAATGAGCCGTATCTTTGAAAATAAACTCACACAAATTTAAACAAGCAAATCCTGCAACAGCACATAAGTAAGTTTGTGTAATATAGAAGAGGTTTTGAAATATGAGGTACGGGTGCTTTGTCAATCTTACTTATTGGCAACTTGAGTTGCCAAAAATATATAATATTCTTACCTTTGCTTAGAATTGATGGATAAGATGTTATGAGACAGGAGATCTTCCTCCTCTTGGAATGTAACTTTTCAAGGTCTTTACTCTGTGAATGGCCCTAAATAAAAAACAGAAGTACAAAGCTAGCCACTCTTCACTATGGCACACCAACCACAATATTCCAAAGCTTTCCAGTTTGAATTGAAACAAGAATTACTTCAAATAATACACAAAATTTTAATGAATTTTAATTAGAAAATCAGTCTTACAACATCAGCCAGCGAAGAGTACAAATTTCGGTCTTTCCCATCAAATGTAGAATAAATAACAAACTGCTACAGGTAAATTATACCCCTTTCCAAAGTATCCCAGAGAAAAATGAAGTGTCTGTTAATGCCTACATTATTTTCTTAGACATGAATTTACTCATAGGGGAAAAAAGATAGTGTGTATTACTTGAAAGCCCACAATAACCTATTTTTCAAGATATTTAACAGAAAATAAAAAGGAATAGCAGTCTTATTAGTTCAAAAGGAGGAAGATCAGATTAGATGCTGAGCTGTAACTGGAAGATGCATGAATATATATGAACATGCAAATACAATCCTTGTGTCTGTACAGGGTTTAACAAAAGTCAGCTGCATGCCTTTTAAATATCTGATTTGAAAAAATCAGCTATTTTGAGCATCTATCAAATGTTCAATGACAGAAGCAGACACTGAAGTAGAATGCTGCTTGCCATATGTAAAACAAAAATGGCCAGAGCATGGCTTACTCCAAAATCAAAGTACTATTTCCCTGGCTCTTAAATTCTCAGTGTATTTTGAAACACTTTTGTTCTGGAATTCTGCAACTTTTATCCAATTTTTAAAGTCTTCAGTTTGTAATTTCTATGTGATTTCATGCAATGTATTTCTGCAAATATTCATAACTAAAATAGCTGTTCAGTGGATTCAAAAGAGCAAACAGCAACAGATTATCTATTAACTGCACTAAACAAATTACTGACATTATAGGATAGCTTAGCCATGAATTCTAGATTTGTACAATTGCCATACAATTTGAAGGATGGGGAAATAGGATATGCTAGAAAAAAAAGGAAAGAAATGTAAGTGCCAACTTTTCAGACTAAAACAAAAGCAAAGGAAAACAAAGGAGGTCAAGCTCTTGTAGGTCTGTCTCCTTTGAGTAGTCTCTTAATTATTTTATTCCATGTCTCAAAGACAACAATGGAAACGAGTACTAAGTCCCTGTCAGTATGACCAGTGGATCCTGCAAACACTGAAGACATGCAATTGGATGACTGAAGCTAGTCTAAAATGGTGATTATATGCTACAGAGAACTGAGCTCTCAGCAGACAATGAGCAAACGATCTATGCCTGCAGCAAAAAGATGGAGATTTCTACACTAAGCCACAGCTCTGATAAATGTATGAATTGTAAGAGAGTGTCAATAACTCTCCTGATACTGCACAGGGTATTACGTATTTATATCACGTGGGGCAAAACTGAGAAAGTCCTTGTGTCATAAATTATCTCATCTCCAATCCCAGGCACAGCTCAGGACTTAGGAGATTTCTCTAGCCTCTCTTTGTATGAGAATACCATGACCCACCTGGAGTGTCTTTAAATCCTCAGGAGGGATTTAAGATTTCTGTTAAAATTGGTGTTCCCAATTCTCAATACTAAACCTTTTTGCAGTGCTATCTTCTGCACTCACAAGCCATGTTTTCAGGTGCGTTTCCTGCAACAGGGGACTTCTGCTGAAGCGTATTTACCTGCTTAGAGCTCTTAGAATGTTTCCTGTGTATGCTCCAAGTCCACCAGTCTGTTACATACATGTATCAGAATATATGTGTTTGTCTTTTCCAGTAAGAATGGAGAGTAAATGCAATAAAGGCAAACAGGAGAGGTACTGGCTATGTCTACACTACCAAGCAAGAGAGACTAGAGCCTTCTGGATTCCCTGCCTTGTATATCCTCACTTTGGAGCAGCAGGACAGGAGTAGCATATTCCATCAGATTTTCACATATATCACGTGCACCTGCTCATACTGTGTATTCCATACCAACAGATGGTTGCCGAAGAATTTCCCTTTTTTTCAGCTTTTCTGCCAGAAAAATAGATCTTTTGATGGAAACACACAATCAAGAATATATAACAAGACCAGAGACTTTGTACTTGCTTTAAAATTTTGGAGACTAAGAAAATATAATCTGTCTTCAAACTCTATATTATAATATATCACGATACATAACAGAATTTCAAACTAGTTTTCTACCAGCAGAAAGTTGTTCAGTGTTCCATATTCTGTTTCTTGAAATAAGAAATAACATTCTCTGCTTCTGTTTTAAATTGCATGAAGTGATTTATCTTGGGCAAACACAGGACGGAAAAAGTATTAGACACTGTTCAAAAGTTCAAAGATGAGTCATGTTACAGATTGTATGGAGCCTCTAAAGATTTGGGAAATGACCAGCTGGCCCTCTTCTGTGAGAAAACTGCATATAGATGTTAGGAATGAAACAAGGAGTTCAAACCCCAGACAATGAATGTAAATGGGCTAAGAAGAAGCTAAAAGCACACTTTTCTCTAGACAGAATCTCCAGGACAGAGACAGAGCCAAAAGCATCTTTCTAAGATGGAAACAAGTCTTTCTGCATGCACCAAGCAAACTGAGAGGTGTTCATGCTTGATTAGTCAGCACAGGAGGGGATGTTGCTGTTCCCTTGTTATGGGTTAGGTCACCCTTTTCTGTATGGCTTTTCTGATTGGGAGAGAGTTTAATGGAATGTCAGCGGCATTCTTTATCTGGACCGTGAGACAGCAGGACTAGCTTACAGCAGCTTCACATTTTTTAATCAGCTCTTGCACTCCTGACACCCCCTCCAAATACTTTTGCAGACTAATTGTTCAGAAAATATTCTAAATTATAGTGAAACTACCCACTGAATATCTAGAAGCAGATTTTCTTTTCCGTTTACAACAAGAGTCAAATTAATTAAGAGGGAAACAGCAGTGATAATACTATTAAACTTCAACACTCTACACAGGAGAATAAAACAAGTTCTTTTATATACCTTTTTATTATACTGCTGGTGTTTGCCTTCTAAACGAACAACATTGCAGGGCTTTTGACTACCTTGTATTTGCTTTTTACCCTGTTGTTTACTTCTGTTTGGCAGTGGATCAATGTTTTGCACTGTCTTCGTAATCACTGTTTCCAAACTTTCAGAAGTTGGTATTTCAGAGTCACTAAAACAGCACATTGAAGAAAACAAAACAAAATAAAGCTAAACATTAAAAGTTCCAAACAGCCAATGCTTGAGCATATAGAAAATAACACATGCAACAAAGAAGAGAAACTACTATAAAAACCAAACAGTACTAAGTTGACTTATTCAACAGATGTTTACAAATAGGATAGAAGAAATCTCTGAAATTGTATTATCAAGCTCTACTCTGTCAAATGGAATCTCACTGTACAATGCACGGAGATCCAAGACTTCAACTGCCACTTAAAGGACAGCTTAATTACAGTCTAAAAAAGTGACATACATTAAAAACTACTTGAAAGCACTTCTAGTCTGTGAATGGCTCACAAAGATATACTATTTTTCTATTTTCTTTCATTTACACATTTGATAACAAAACTAACAAATGCACGATACTTCGCTCAATAACATTTTCTTTCAATTGAACTTTCATTTGTAGTGTTGACTGAGACAAACTCAGAAATCACACTTCAGTGAAATCTCTGCCTAGCACCCATTTAGAGTGCTTTTAAATTTTGTAAGCTTGGTAGTCCTTCTACTGAAATTGCCTGCCATGCACAGAAACTGGACCTGAAACTTTCATTCTACTCCAAATTCTTCCTTAAACCTGCACTCAATGTGCTCTTAATTACCAGTTTTTCACTACCTTGCCCCAGATTATCATTTGTTTTCTGATATTCAGTGAAGTCTATCTTAAAATATGAAGTCTTGGATATATTTTCTATACCATCAGTGGCTATTCATCATCATTTGTGCAAACAGATTTGTGGAGGGATCCCTTGACAGAAGGCAATTTTTATTTGTTACTTTTTAAACCAAGACATTTAAAAAGGCACAACTGAGTTCAAATTAAGTTGCACTGTCATGAAAATCAATGGTTTAGAGATGGAGGCTACTTAAATAGAGAAAAGGCTTCAAATTGAAGAGAAGAGTTTATTACAGAAACATGTTTATACCTTCCAAAACCAGTCCTGACACATTGGTATGTCTTATTGACTGATAAGAACAGAAATCAATGTAATAGTTTGAAGGACCTGCAGTAGCACAGAGATATTTCTAAGTACATAACACGTTTCCTTCACCTGAATGCTTTCAAGGAACGTTCTATTTAGAAAACGGAAGGCTTGAATCTAGAAACTCAGCGACAGCTGCTAGTGATAAAGAACTTGATAAAGTGATAAAGTATTTATAAATAAGTAGAAGAGGGAACTAAATGAAGATATTTCCCTAACTTGCTGAGAATGACACCTTGAAACATCACCTTCAAAAATCCTCACTATTATACGACAAGAATTCCCTAACCCAATAGTTGTACAATTATTGAAAGTAGTATTTATGGCTAGTCACAAAAACTGAAGCCATACAATTACTTTCCACTTAACTTCAAACTCAAATTGCAATGACGATTTGTGTGCTCAATTTTGTTCTTAAAAGAGCAAAACATAGTAAATTAAATAAAAAGCTCACTAATCGCAACAGAAAAACATGTATGTTTTCTGTAAAATCAGATCTGCAATATTAAATTAAACAGAAAACCAAACAGCTTTACATTAATGATAGCAACTGACAAATTACACGGTTCATAATTTGTTTTCTCTCTCAAGATACTGTGTTCAGGAGCCCCCTATTTTGCATAGGGAGAAGCAGCAGAAGGGCTTCATTTGCCACTGTTGATTTGCTCCATATGACATACAAAGCCAACATGAAGCCTACAAAGACAATTCCATTTTCTTTACTCTTTTGTCACCTTCTCTATATTTTGGCTAAATACAGGCTTGAGAAGTTTATTTGCATGTCTCTTAGGACAAAGTACTGAGAGACAAGGTGTGATAGCCATTTACGTAGTGGCTTTCTGTTGCCTCCTCAAGTATGTGTGGACGAACAGAAGCAGAAGCAAAAATTCTAAACATTTGTGAAGCTTGCCAGTACAATTTTCTGAGGGTCTTGTGACTCATGAGTGGGACTCTATGCACTAACAATTACCTTTAAAGAACTGATTTTTAACCATCATTCAATTAAAGGTAGTACAATGACTGTGCATAAAACATACATGAAATAATTACTGTGGATGGTTCTTAATTTAAAGGATGTTAAACAGCTTGTAGACATCTGCTAGCAAGCTGAAATGGGTCATTCAAAATTTATCTAACTAAATTAAGGGGAAAAAATGTTTCTCCTCCCGGGTCGGCATGTCACAAGATAACTAAACCGACTTAGTAGGCTTGCCTGGGAATCCTTAGCTGTCAGTGGTGAATATGCAAAGGGCCAGCAAATTAAATCAACCTGCCAAACTGTCAATTTCAAGCCTCATGACTGCATGAAAATAGCATCACTGGAAGAAATCAAGCATTGCCTTCTTTTGGGTTTCCTGGCACCTATTCAAATACTCATGCAGTTGTGGCTAATTTTGCATGCAAATTTCAGTCAATAAGCTCAGAACAAGACCTCCCAAGATATTTCAAAGGATCTGACAGTATTTTTTTTGAATACCAAATCAACAGTACTTGAAATTCAATCTCCATTTGCTAGTGCTTTACATATGCACAGTGTCCCCTCTACAGGGCTAAGTTAATGAGAGCCGTACCTGCTTTCACTCACATCCTCCCAGCCGTCCTTACTGAAGTTCTCAAATACATTACTCATAACCTTGATGGACTGTTTGAGAAAAGCTCCATGATGTCCCAAAGAGCTCTTTTTCTTGGCTGTTTTTAATTTAACCTTGGTGCCTGTTATCCTGCAATTACATTGCCCAGAGGTTGCCACTGCTTTGGCTTCTTCCAGCAAACACTTCAGCTCCTGCACTTGACTCAGCAAATCTTCATTTTCATTTCTCAACCTGTTAGCTTCTGCCACTTGCCTCTTCAAAGAGGCAGCTTCTTTCTCCTGCTCATCAATCACTAACTGAAGTTCTGCTTTGTCTTTTTTTATTTCACAAATCCTCTTAAGTAGCGCTTCCAGCTCTCTTTCTCTTGTGTCTGCATCTTCCTTTTGCACTTCTAAAGATGCTTTCAAGTAATTTTTCTCCTTCAGTAAGTCTTTATTTACTTCCTTCTGTTTCTTTAAATCCCCTTCAATAGCTTTTAATCTTCTTTCTAGTTGTTGTACCTAACAAAAGCAATTTTAGCATTCATAATATTTCAGCCTATTCAGTAGAAAAAACCCTACGTTTTCAAATGTATTTATATATGACAATAATATTACATTAAGCACAAGGACAAAAGCAATCTATAGTCCTTAATTTAAAAATAATTCTAATGTAGTGTAGATGAAAACATTTTAGCTGCAATAATACAGCTGTTGAACAAAGGGCAGATGGTAGAAGAAGTTAAAATTCCAGGCAAAGTGACATAGAAGTTTGAGTACGCTGATGAGCCTTCCTGATGCATCTTGAGCTCATTACTGATTTGGTTATACATACTAATTGAATTAAAAAAAAACATTTTCAGAATGAAAACTGTTCTGAAATACAGAGAATTTTGCACTAGCTGTCTAAATCAACAAGTTCCTTCAAGTGTTGTAAATACATAAATTAAATATTCATTTGATCTTCCAACGAACTCCAAAAAATTATAGAAAAAGATATTAGAAGCTCAGCACCTAAAGAATATGAAGACTGAAATATTTTTTCTATTCACAGAAAGGGAAAATCTATCCTATTCCAATGAAGCCACTTTACAAGCTTCCCATATGCAGTTTGAAGAAACATATTCTACCTATATATGATGCATATGCTTTGTTTGTAAAGCCCTTTGAGGTTTACACATATTCAAGGTCATTAACAATAAACTGATTCTCAATGTTCTTCTGGAATATTTGCTTAAAGTTACAACCAAACCTCATAATTTCCAGAAGTAAGGGGTAATTTTCATTTTAGCAGATACTAAAATGAACACCTAATCTGTGAGATTTCCCCAGAAGCTTCCAAAGGGCATCAGAGTGAGTTTTGTGCTCAGTAACCACTTAGTCATTTTGGAGAAGTATTTTTGTTGGTTTTGTACAAGCTCCACCCCCACTCTTCCACTACGGAATGTGCCAGGTGCTCTAGTTTTTTTCTGGGCATGGGTAGAAAAGACTATTTTTCGAGGAGCTAGAGTAGAAAGCACATTGCCAACTTCAGGTACTCACCTTGTAAAATAGTGGCCACTTCCATCATTTTGCAGCAATACAAAACGTCAAAACTTGCTTTGACATTGAAAATATTGAAGCCATAGTATTTCTCAATAAATGCCATATGTTTTTGCAAGGACATTTTGCCAATGCATTTAATTTATTTTAAAACTTACAGCATGACTTACAAAGTGGCTACTACAGATTTGATCCAGATAAATGAGATGCCTTAATGTACAGAGTAAATTAGGGCAAGAGCTGCTCAAACTTCATATATATTTGTGAATTTGATACTGAATTTGTGGGTTTGATAGGAAACCTTTAATATGCACGCCTATCCATTGCTACCTTCCTTTATGGAAATTCATAGCACTCCCACAATGAAGCGAGATTGCCTTATAGCTACATAAAGTTATTGGGTGAAATTAGAAATAAAGGGGATTTTTCCAAATGCTTCAATGAAATCAAGATTTATGATTAAAACCATAGTTTGTACTTCCCTCCCCAATGATAAGGAGTCAGACCAGTACCTTTCTTCAACCACCTTCCTAAACTGAGACTGTGCTATTTTCTCAGTTCTTTAAAGCAACCTTTTGCACTCACTAGCACTTAAAGTCATATATGACAGCTAGAAGGAAACAAACAATGAATAGCTTCTACACCTATCCCTAAGGTACCATCATAATTCTGTATATCCATAGAGATAAAAATTATGTAGTACATGGCAAACAAAATTATAGTTCTGAAATATAGATGATAAGCAAGCATAAACTGTGTGACATTTCAGATGGTAGCATTCATATTATTTCAATTACTCACTCTACCTTAAGATAAATGAATGTGAGCACTTTCTATTCTGTGTGTTATTATTTTAACATGATGTTTGTCATTCAGTAATAACGAGATGACAGCCTTCATTGCCTGACCATATGGCAAGTGTTACAAGTATATGCAATCACATCATCTGCTGTAAATTACCATACTTCCTACAAGTTAATTCACAAATAAAAAATAAATAGACATACCCAAACTGACATTCAAAGTTATAGATTTGTGTTTATTCAATTTAAGCATGCTTTTAAAGATTTATAAGTAATTAAACAAACATTGTTTTGCAAAATGACAAACAAAAGGCAGGATACTGTTTGAAGGATGTCTTTTCTTTGCAGCAAACGAAACATATGGTAAAATACAAGTGAGCCCTCTTAAGTGAACACCTGTTAACATACTAAACTACTTGTGTATATTACAAATATCAATACAAATAGCAACTAGTTAAGAACATCTTATTACTGCATGAGGTAAAACATGTAGAATGTTGAGCAGTAAAGATTAAATGCTCATCATATTTGCTAAGCCAAAGAACACTAAATGCATACGGTACTATCTTGTGAAAAGAGTGATAAACCCACATATGTAGAAAATATTTGCATATACAATGTTGTGCTAAAATTTAAATACAGCAAAGGTGGATTTATCACTATTATGCATCAGTTTTATTCTATAGCAAGAGCTCTGTGGAGATTAACACCTGATATCATGTGAAGTTAAATACTCAGCAAGAGAAATGAAGGTTTCTGAACTTAAAAGTGGTAAAATGCTAAGCGTATGTTACTTCCGATTTAGATGATTTGTTAGTTTTTAACATTATACCTCTAAACATTCTTTTCATTTTCTCTGACATTAATCATGCTTATCTTACATGATACATTCACAGCTACTTCACTAGAATTCATTTCTGACATGATTTTGGAAATTCATATTTTTTAATTAGGAAAGGAAAATCATGGCCTAAATTCACGAGTACTGACTTATACATATATGATTCTTATATTAAAATTTAAATCTGTTTGCTGCGGTTGGTATCTTACCTTCTGTAATGTCTGATGTGAAACTTCTTTCATATTCCTCTTTGGAGTACTATCCTCAAACCCATCATCTTCAGTAAGTTTAAAAAGTGGCTCTATCAGAAAATAAATAATAACTCTCTATCAGAGAATAAATAAATACATTCTGACACCTAGTATTTCACAAAAACAACACTTAGACATTTTAAGGAAATGCATTCTTTACTTCCGCAATTATTTATGATGTGGTCTATTTTCTTGACAAGCCTTTTGGTCAGTTTCTAAAGAGTGACCTCTTTTCAAAGTGTTCTGTCACGTAATTATGAATCTTTGTAGCATCACAGTATGTTTTTTCAGAGTACAAGCTTTTCAAAGGTACAATAGATCTGCAGGTTAAAGACGCTGTACTTTCATTCTGATTTTTATTCTTTTATAGACTATTCCCTCTATGCCTTAAAAGCAGAATTCATTGCCTTTTTATCTACACAGTCACTACCAGTTTTGTTCTCTAGGTCTTGTCCCCTGCTAGGAGGATCAGAGTGACTGGTGAACAAAGCAAACAGTAACAGAATTAGGATGGATGAAAACTTTAAACCCCCTTTTTTGTTAAGTGAAAGATCATGTACTTCACTAGATAAATCACATAAATCATTCCATTGTAATACTGTGAACTCATAACAATTAGAAATTGATACAACTAATGAGAGTGAACATGACTCTAAGCATCACTCTGAGACACAGCTATGCACTTTAGGTACTAAAAATCCCACAAAAAAAGACAAGTTAAGAATTAGATCTATTCGTAAAGAAGAATGCTAAGAAAAAGTTTAGAAGTACTAATACGTAGAGTAAATCAGAAGTAAAACACATTCTGTTTAGATTTGAACCAAGTACTCAGCATTCACAAACTGCCGTTGATCACAGAAATGAACAATTACACACCTCAAAAGGACTTTTTCTTAGAATACGAAATATTACATTAAAGAGCCAAAAAAAATCCAGACACTGTAAAAACACCACAATATTCACATTTCTTTTCTTGCCCTTCTTCCCCCCAAATTAACTTAAAGAATTAATCTTAAGGGATAAATATTTGTGCTACATGGTGCAGGTATGCTTTAGAAGTATCATTTCAAACTACAAGCAGCCACTGCAGGTCACTTAAAAACTTTTGATTTATAAACAAAGCAAGTGTAGAAGAAAACAGTGTTACTCTCTGTAGATTCACAATCCTCTTGATATAAACAGTGACTAACAAGTTTGTTAGAGTGAATTAGACCTTTCTTTTGTCTTTGGAACATGTCATGGCCAATTAATACTTCTGTATTCATGAAATAAATGGAACACTATTCTAAAGATAATAAAAGCTGAAAAAGGTAAAACTATGCATCTGGGGAATATGTACCTTTACCTTGATATTAATATGTTAGTTCCCATGTTATTTCAGACTATAGTCCCCCAGCACAGTGGTACTGCATACATTTACAACATTCTTTAAGTAACACACAAAGATAATATGAACATGCTTTTCATCTTTTTCTAAATATTCACTCATTTGAATGTCTGCTGTAGCTTTTATATCAGCATTTACTGTACTCCACTGAAAAGAAAAATGATTTCCCATAGTCAAAGAAACTGATCAAAGCACACAAGGTGTTATGTTTATTATGTGGATGTATTAAAATACAATTTAAAACTCTATCTATAAATAAACATATTATATGCAGAGAATAAAGAATACTACTGCAAAATAGAAAAGACTATACATGTTCAGCATTATCACAGAAGTCACAAGCAACATAAATCAAAGAAAAGCCAAAGGTCACTGATGCACAACCCTTTCTATCGAGCAGAAAATAAATGGCCTATTCAGCCCCCTTCTCCCCTCCTCCCTTCTAATTGTTATGTAATTGTTCACAGGAATTGGTTAGGGAGGCAATGAAACAGCACTGCCTATAACTGTCTGTCTATGATAGCAGTAAGGTTCATCATATCAGTCTACTCAGCAAGATATATGCTCTACCTGTCACACTCCTACATAAAAAAATACCAAGTCGTCCCTCAAGGAGTCAAGTCATAAACCCCACTATCTGCAGTCATCAAATAACCATGGTCTTACAGAAGTACACTTATGTCCCACTGAGAAAACATAGTTAACTGCCAGCTTTAGAATGTAACACTTAATTCCTAACTAACAGTCACCATATCTGATCATGAGTTAGTTCAACACTGCTGCCAAAATGGTACTTGACCTATGATACTGCAGTTCACTATTAGTATTTGCAGAAAGCCTTCTTAAATAGAGAAAAAACTATCAATTTAAAAAAAACCAGCTGTGTATTAGTCACTCACAGAGTACCTACATGAACCACCAAAACAATGACATTTTTCCCTCTGGTATGCACCAGTTGAAGGATTCCCCTGACAGACAGTAAGTGCCATGGTGCAGAAAGCCACTGTGTTATTTACTCCAGTGGTAGCCAACCCATGCTCCCAAATACGTGCCAAGTCTGAAACAGCCAGTGGGAAAAACCACTGCGAAGACGAGAAGAAGGGAATGCCATTCTCACACTTGACCTGGGGATCCCGTAGATTCAGAAGAAGTCTCATAACAAAAGAAGCCTTCAAACCGCCTCCTTGAAGAAATAGGGGGCCAACAGTTTACCTTCTTTCAATAAGGCACTTGCTATTTTTCTGAATAGGATCAGACAGACCCAGTTTCCTGCTCTTGGAGGAAATGGCATGAGTACCTGCCAACACATTCTTTACATTCACACACAAATTATGACATGAATAGCATGAATAGGGAATTTGGATTTGATGACTACTGGAAAATAATAGGCAATGGTGAAAGAGACACCTTGGCCAACGGAATCAGAATGGAAAGAAATTTGGAACAGCAAGGCCAGAGTTTCCTTCTCCCCTGACCTCTTTCATCTTTGACCAGCAGGGTTTGAAAAATTATATGGGTGAGCAACAAATCTATCCAGTACTTCTTCCTGACAAACACAACTGGTATCTAATCAAGCAAGAGGATAGAGCCTATCTTTTTTAATACAGGGAATCTTGGCCACTTTTTTCAGAATTTATCCCTTGACACTAGAATGCCTGATGGAAACAGGTATAAAAAGGTACCTGCTAAGGTGAAAATGAATTCCAACATCACTCACAAGCTAAGTAAATTCATGTCAGGTTTCCTTTTAGAAAAGAAGAGATACTGAGACTGTAAACAAAGTGTATTTAGACCGTATCAAGTTTGGACTCCTAGCAAATTACAGACAACAGACCTGAGGTGGTTGTTCTACTTGGGAAGAGGAGACACTTAATACCCATTTTAGGGCAGAGGGTGTAAAAACTTTCTTAGCACATGATCAAAGATTGCTTACATATACTCATTTATGCTCAAAGATGGATATCCAGCTTCAGTCATTACAGTATAGTCTTCTAGAAAAGGTCAGCCAACTGATAAACATGTCCAGCACACTGCAATACCCTAGGATTTGCAAGGGAACAAGGAAATTACTTTTTATAGACTGGGTGAGCAACTATTTTTTTATACTTCAATTGGTAAAAGTTTGGAAGTGGCTGCAATCAGCTCAGTCTTACGTGCTAACAAAAAGTGTTGCTTAATACATATCTTTGGACTTGATTTTGAATCTTACAAAAAATTTCATGTCCTTCTAAATGATACTTTTAACAACAAATGCTGGAAAAGGTAAGTAAAATTTGCCTAACACACTTCACTGGTAGTTTAACCCTTTTTCTCAGTCCCAATATAACAACAACTAATCATCATACCAATAACCAAACTAGAAGTATGTATCCACCCACACACTTTTAAAAGAGGATACGCTTTAATCTGAAAAGATAATGAAAAAAAGAAGGAATAAAGGACTAACTGTTAAAGCACTAAACATGTCAAGAACAGGCAGTTTCAGGGATCTGACTGTTTTTTGGAAATGCATGGTTATTGCTCAGCAGGCTCTCAACTCCTTCTCACCGCTGGTTGCCTTTCCACTTCTCTCTGTGCAAAGACTGACTAAATTGGCAAAAGCAAAAATATGATTTTTAAAGTCAGTATTTGAAACCTTAACTAGTTCTCTTCAGCTCTATCTGGCACTATGAAAGTAACACATAAGAAGTAACATGAAAGAAAACAGTAACTTTCAGTCTTCAGCAGCTGGATATTTCCACTTAAGTTTTATAGATACTACAAAACTAATTTAAAATAAAGGAAAAAAAAATTATTTTTTCATTCAAGTGGCCAACAGTACCACAAAAAAAGAGAACACCCACCAGCAGAAAATTGGGATAAAGAATGGTAACGCTTTATTGCTAAGAACATGCAGAGTAGTTCTCCAAGTCTCCTACTCCCTTCCTTTGCACAATACTATGCATAAAGAATACACCACAGACGTGACACCCAGCTGGACTGTAACTATGCATTCTTGAATACTTCTCCCAGATGATTCAGGAACAGCAAATAATACAAAGAATCAGAGGAGTGATAAAGAGACAATGGTAATATATTACCTGTGCAACTGACAAAGACCCATCTTCATAGAACCATCAACTATTATAAAGATTGTAAAGACATAAAAGAAGATACTAATGATCAATTCTTATAAGAGTTCCACCATATCAATTTATGTTGAAATTCACATATTTTGTAAGACTAGTATTAAAAAAGAAGTCTGGATGAGCATGAAATTTCTGTATCACTGTATTTCAATACTGCAAAAACCATTTCAGATTCTGGAAAAAGCTTCATAAACATATAAACATGTTTTAGATTTTACACATATGTATTTATATACATACATATTTTAAAATAATTAACTACTTTTATATGTAGTGTATACACATAAGTTGCAAACATATAGTAGTGTATATCTGTATATAAAAATTGTCATTGATTTAATAGGCATGTGGAGAACTTAAGGGTAAACGTACTTTGAGATAGGAATATATATGGCCTTATGCTTACAAAATACACATTCAACAAAAATATATTAACCTTTGGAGAAAAAAAATAACCTTAAAATTAGTATTTCTAATAGAATACATATACACATATAAAATACTATATCTTCTCTTTTTTATTGTCAACACAGTTAAACTGCATTGTGAACTTACCCACAGATTGGTGTACTTTGATCTGATCCAATTCTTCTTCAAGATTCAGTCTACAAAAGAGGAAATAAAAAAGTAAGAACGACAGAACATTCACATAGACGCCACTAAAACCATTTAAAAAATTAAACCAAACCCATATCAACATATTACTACAGAAAAAGTTGTCAACACCCAGAAATTAGTTCTAATTTGATGACATTTAGCGTACTTCAAACATAAGGAGTCATTTGTACAACAGCTGATTAGCATTTATAAATCTGAATTTACAAAATTCAGATATAGTGCTGGTTGTAACATAAATTAAGAAGCTTCAGCTGGTCCTTTTTAGGTAAGGAAATGCCTGAGATGAAAAGGAGACCAGCAGGAGGTGGAATCCTGTTAAGAGGGGAATAAAGTATTCAGTCTCAGGGGAAACCACCAGCCAACCTTGTACAGATATATCTTACCATTAATCTTTTTCAGCGGCTATTTGAGAAACTTTTTAACAAAATCTCTACTCCTCTTTTCTAGCCCTGACCTACTACTATATTATTACTACAGGTTTTTTCTGTAATATCAACCAGCTGAAGTCAATATAATACAATACTTACATTACTCCTTTTCACTTTATTAAAATTACATACAAATAAAGTTGCCAGGATACGAATGCTAAAGTTTCAAAGTCAAAGTGGGAAATGATGGAATGAAAGACATTAGTTTAAATGGTTCATTTACACTTCTGTTTTCTGACACAATCTTTAATTATATAGTCGCGCACTATTTTAGCAGTAAGATCCCCACCTATTTTAGTCTAGGATCCTACAGCACACACAACAGAGTTTAATATGCAGATTTTGCTTAAAATATAACTTCACATCCTATATAAATACACATTATTCTAGCTCTGTTCTGAGGGTTGGATTGCTAATATCCTCCCAGCCATTTCTGCTGTACTCTGAGCAGCAGCACCTAACTGCTTTCACAGTAAATTTATGCTTCACAAAATCCCCTTGAGATAAGGCACAAAGAAAATCTGGCCAAAATACCTGCAAACTTAAGAAAAGGGTTTAAAAAAAGACGTCTTTCAGTATACGCAGTATTTTAAAGCACATTATATTTTAAATGCATCTCTGACTCAGCTGTAATACATGAAGCGCAAAGAAAATGAGAAATGTGAAAAGTTAAAAGTAACTTGCTTTGCACGACACATAAGACTCCAGCTATTTTCAGGATCACTCTCAGCTGCCTTCACAGGCTGACTTCCTTTGCTGTTATTTTATTCTCCATGCATCAGTCATCATCAATTTCTGTAACACAGACTACAGTGGCTTTTACCTCCACATTGTCCTAACTCCTCCCAGCACGTTCACTTTTTGCACTGAATGGCAAAATGCTTCCTTGAAAAAACATTGTTTACATAATTAAAGACTGTATTCAACATTACATACTTCCTGCTTGAAACTCTATCTTCTGAAGCATGTTATTTTTCAACTTTAAAAACATTATTTGAATGAACACACGTTTACACACATATGTATACATACATACTGCCTCCCTACACACTAAGTGACAAGCATACAATGATAACTGTACAACATATTTAAAAAGAGTTAACTTTTACGTAAAGATTTTTTCTAGGGTGATGAAAGACATGCAGAAGTAAATAAATGATATGAAATAAGTAAAGGGGTAGGTTTATAGTCTGAATATCTGAAACACTTCCAAATAAATTCATTTGTCTGTGAAATACTCTCCAACTGAAGCTATGATATATCTAAGCTAGAAATACTTCAGGCAAGCCTAGACAAGAAATTACCATGTGTAATACAAGATCCAACCCACACAAGTCAATAACTGGCTTGCATGAATGGTAGAAATGCCCAACTGCATTAGACCAGTGCTGGGTCCATCCATCATCAGTGCTCTGTCTCCAGCAGAGGCAAAAGCAGATGCTACTCAGGAGAGGGCACAAGCCTAACAGTTTCTGCAGGCTGATTCCAATTTTCCATCCTGAAAGTGGCACGTAAGCACTACCCTTTGTTTCCTCTGCTTTTAGAGGTTCCCTGTTGCTAAAAGGACCTTTCCTCCAATCCTGCAGGAATGGAGTTTCTTTATAACCTTTCATGTGGAGCCTTGTCGAAGGCAATTGGAAAATACAGACCAGATTTTATCCACATAGTTACTGTCACCCTTCTGCAATTCCAGCAGGTTAATGAAGCAGGATTTCCCTTTACAGGAGCCACACTGATGCTTCCTCAACAAAACTGTGTTGATCTGTGCTCAGTGATCTCTCTCCCTCTCTGTCGTTTCCCCTGCCCCCGCCTTTTTCCTAAAGACAGGCTTGCCATCTTCCCAAGTATGGAAGCAGCCAGGCTCACTGGTTTGCAGCTCACTCTGGAGCCCATTTTGTAGATGGGAGTTACAGTGGCAGCTTGCCAGTCTGCTAGCACAGTGACTGTTTACAACGAGGTTACAGTTCAGTGATTTCATACTTCAGTGCCTTCACACTCCTTGGGTGTATCTTGTCAAGATATTAAGATCAAGATATTAACAATAACTTATCTACTTGATTTCATAGTTGCTGTACAGTTACTTCAAACAGATCTAACACCTTTGACCCATCTGCTACAAAGAATACCTGAGTTGTTGACACCTTAGCATCTTCAGCAGGGAAGACTGATGCAAAGATTCACTGAGTTGTTCTTCTATGGCCTTGTGAACCCATTGTATGTTTTTACACTTTTATCACTAAGCAAACCTACAAATTTCCTAACTGGCTTCTTTTTCACTTTATTTAAGCAAAATTTTAATATCACAGCTTAGGCATCTTTGAAAACCACTCTTCCAAGAGCTTTTTTAGCCTTCTTAACTTTCCACTTGCATTTGTCCTGCCATTGTTTATTGGCCTAACTGTTCTCACCAATGCAAGCTTAAGTTTTAAATGCTGACCTTTCCTCTGTGAGGGCTACAAAAACTTCCCCACTGAGTCTTTACAGAAAGATTTTTAAGACTATTTTGGGGTGGGGTTGGGTTTTTTTTTTTAAATTTCATTTTTTAAATTTTAGCACATACTTCAGCTCGGTTTCAGCTACAGTACCTTGCTTAACAGTCTCCAACTGTTCACAGACTTTCTGTACTGCTTGTTCTTGGGTTTGGGGCACTGGAGTTTTTTTGACTAGTTGCTTCATTTTTATGTGGTTCCCTTTCTGGAAAGTGAACATTGCCAGTCCACTTGATTTGGTCTACTCTCTTCTGCTACTATTTAAATATAATATTAAAAAAAAAAGGGGGGGGGGGGGGAGGCAAACATCACATGAACCCATCTTCATAAAGGATGAGATGTGGGGAAACACAAGCTTCACCTCTTTTCCTTGGAAAGTTACAGAGCAAATCATCCTGGAAATCATGTCCAGCCGCCTAATGGACAAAAAGGTGGTTGGAAACAGCTAGCATGGACTTACCAAGGAAAAATCTTGCTTCACCAACCTGACTGCCTCTGTAAGCAGATGACTGGCTGTAAGAATAAAGGGAGAGCAGGCAATGGTGTATACCTTGAATTTGGCAAGGCATGAGATGGTCTCCTACCTCCTTATTGCCAAATAGTTGAGATCTGAATTGAAAAGTAGGTAAGGTGGCTGGGAAACTGGCTGGACTGCTAGGCTCAAAGGGTGATGATCTGTGGTGTGGAGTTCAACTGGCAGCTAGAAATTAAAAGCACCCCTCAGGGATCCATAACAGAGCCAGTACTGTTTAATGTCTTTATTAACAACCCTGAAGATGAGTTACAGTGCCTCTCAGCAAGTTCACAGATGATAGAAAATGGAGGAGAGAAACTGATATACTCACCAGAGGGCTGGACCGCTGTTCAGAGAGACCTCATAGGCGAAAAAAATAGGCTGATGGGAACTTCATGAAGTTCAGCAAAGCCAAAGTCCTACCAGAATAACCCCTTGCAACAGGACATTCTAGAAGACCACCCAGTTAGAGAGCAGCTTTGCAGAAAAAGTGGGTTCCACAAGTTGAACAGTAGGTAGTGACATGCCTTTGTGGCAAAGGCTAACAACATACTAGCTGTATAGACAAGAGCAGAGTCAGTTGGTTTACAAAATTAATTCTATTCGGCACTTCTGAGGCTGCATGTGTGGCTGTGTCTATTTTTGTGTTCCTCCAATAAAGACACTGACCTACTAGATTAAGCCTAGCAAAGCGGTATCACAATGGTCAAGGGTTGGGCACATGAGTTATGATGACAGGTGAAACACCTGGGTTGATTTAGCTCCAGGAGAAGGTAAGATTTTATTGCTGTCTACCTAACGCAAGGGAGTCAAAAAGATGAGTTTGACTTTTCCCAGAGGAGCACCATGGATGGTATGAGAACCAATGGACACAAGTTAGAATACATTAAATTCAAACTAGATATAAAAAGAAGTTGCTCATTAAGCTGGTCAGACCCTGGAACTGTTGCTCAGGAAGGTTTTGAAATCTCCATCCTTGGCCTCCATGTCCTGCATCCTTTGTCAAAACTTGACAAGATCCTAAGCAGCCTTCCCAAACTGCCACTGCTTTGAGCAGCAGGTTGGACAAGACAGCTTCTAGAGGTTCCTTCCAAGCTGCACAATTCTGTGCTTCTTCTTGTATTGGGGTAACTATTACAGAGAGGCTTTCTCTCTAATGCTTTCTGAACTAAGTTCTGTATACCACTCAAAATAAAACCCAGAACACTAATTTCCCTTTTAGCTTCTAAGACTGATTGTTCTAGAAAGTTACTTATTCCATACAAAACTTGTATCTCTAGATCTTGCCTTGGCAAGATAATGATGCAGGCTCTACATGTATAGTTGAAACCTTCCATGGTTACAACCTGTCCTTCACAATTCATTGAATTTCGCTTTGCATTTCTGCCTCACCGTCAGCATCCTGATGAAAAGATCAGCAATACAACCTCACTGCTACTTATTTGTTATTAAAATATAGGACTTCTATCCAAAAGCCATACACAGTACTCCCTTTTTCTGTAATAGCTGTCCGGTATTACACTTAAATAATCCTTTTCATACAGTGCCACTCTCTC